TCAACTTACCATCAGCTGGCGTATATCCCAATGTCAAGCCCCCTATTCCACCCAAATTTGGTCCTTTCACATTATCATTGATAGAAGCCCTCTTTGTTTCCGCCATATTAGACCACCACCCGACTACAGGCCCAGGATACCGTTCATCGGTGTGTGTATATGAATAGGTTTTGAAGCCTCTGAAGTTATTGAGAAACGGAACATGCATCTAGTCTTAGTTCAATCCTCGACGAAGCGAAAGCGCTCGAGCTTAGATAAAACGCCAATGGGATGGAAAGCCTCTAGCGCAAGTGCGCAATGGATCAGAAAATGTATTTGTCGGGTTACGCAAATTTAGCTTCATAATGGGTATGCTATATTCATACATATAGACCAAGCCAATGTAGAGTGTGGTCAGACTTGGACCTCTCAGAGGTTATAATCATAGAGACCGACTACGGGCACACTGTTTTTACTACCGGCACACTATTGACTAACCCGTTTTGGGATATTTCCCGCTGGCCATAATTTATTCATAGGCTGTCGTATTTAATATGGTACTCCCTTAGTATTTCGGACAGTACCCGAATCTTATTAGGGCACCCTATCGCGAATGTAGAATCTTGCACGCCATCTATACTATCATGCAAAAATGAAGCTATTCCTAGATGCTGATTTGATCGAGTTTTTTTTTACTAAAAAGGGGGTTTGGTGCAGAAATGAAGCTATTCCTAGATACTAATTTGATCAAGTTCCAGTGCAAAAATAGAGTTTTTTCCTACTGAAAAGGGGGTTTAGTGCAGAAATGAAGCTATTCCTAGATATTGATTTGATCGAGTTTTTTTCTACTGAAAAGGGGTTTGGTGCAGAAATGAAGCTATTCCTAGATACTGATTTGATTAAGTTCTAGTGCAAAAATGGAGTTTTTTCCTACTAAAAAGGGGGTTTAGTGTAGAAATGAAGCTATTCCTAGATACTGATTTAATCGAGTTTTTTTTTACTAAAAAGGGGGTTTAGTGTAAAAATGAGGCTATTCCTAGATATTGATTTAATTAAGTTCTAGTGTAAAAATAGAGTTTTTTTCTACTAAAAAGGGGTTTAGTGTAGAAATGAAGCTATTCCTAGATACTAATTTGATCGAGTTTTTTTCTACCGAAAAAGGGGGTTTAGTGATATAGGGTTTGACTAGTTATATAATCGTAAAATAGCCTCTATTTTAGGAGATATGCTTAATCGATAGATCTTAGCCTAGCTTACTTACTATAAATTTATACTACGTATAACTCTTAAAATAACCTCTAATTTATAAGATATTCTTAATTGATAGGTCCTAGCCTACCTCCCCGTCCCCGTCCCCGTCCCCGTCCCCGCCTATTACCCCTTATTATAACCTCGCTAACCGCTATTTTATCCTTAGATATTATCTCCCCTTAAGTGGTCTAGTTATTATAACACCTCTTAGCTAGTGCCCGCCCTAATCGTTAGATAATTGTAGCTTCTTCCTATCGGATATACTTAAATTAGGAAAGCTCTCGATAGGTTAAGTTCTTAAAACACTAGGATACTCGGAAGGATAATATTAGCTACGATAATATTAGCTATAATAATACTATCTATAATAATACCGTCTATAATAATACCGTCTATAATAATACTATCTATAATAATACTATCTATAATAATACTATCTATAATAATACTATCTATAATAATACTATCTATATTAATATAGGCTAACCGCGAGAGCGTATAATATACGGATTTTAAACTTACCGCTTATAGCCTTAGTTATATACCCCTAGTATTAACGGTTAGATCTAGTAATATAGATAGAAGTTTATCTAAGAGAGACTCTTACCCCTCTCCTAAACTTCGAATATACGATAGATATACGGAGTGCCTTTAGTTCCCGAGGATCTATATAAGTAGGTTACTAGAATAGCTAATATACTAGCTATACTTAGTAGTAAATAGTAGTTAAAAACTCGAGTTATTTTCTTAATAGCCTACTTAGATACTAGCCCTTTAATATTATAAAAAACTAATATTATATTATATAGTTTCCGGAACCTCTATATATAGATCTTACGACGGATATTTAATATATAGCGTTTTATTATAATCTTAAAGGTAGTAGTTAGGGCTAGTAGATCCTTAGTCGAGTTATTAAGGTCTCGCTTTAAGGAGTTATATATAGCTTCTACCCGAGAAGTTAAGGTCTTACTTAGGTATAAAAATATACTAGTATAGTAACGTAGGAAGTGCTTACTATAGCCCTATATCTACTCCTTATCGATATACTATAGAAGATTTAGATAGTACCTATATTTCTCTTAAAAGCGTGCCTACTAAGTCTCTATATAAATAGTCTAACCCCTCTTACTATTACCCCCTACCTTTATAAATACGATTAAATACTAATTAGCCTTTATTTATTACTAGATAGTATTAATCTTTTTACTAATACTATCTACGGTATAGGTTTAGAGGGGCTTAGAAGAGTACTAATAGAGATAGCTATAGATAGTTAGTTATCTATAGTATTTAATATTATAGATAATATACTAGATATAAAGGAGTGCTTTAGATACTAGAAATACCTATATAATAGTAAAATTAAGATATTAGCTTAGTAAATTAGATAGAGATAGTAGATATAGTATACTATATTTTTAATAGTATTCTATAGTACGTTTTTCTTATCTATTATAATAGTTTAGGGACTATAATAAGATTATTTAATCCCTATAGATAGAACTAAGGATAGAGTAATATTCGATATACTTAGTAAAAAGCTCTTAAGGTAATTACTCTCTAGCTAACTTTAAGTGATAGTAGTATAACTATTATAATTAAGATTAACTCCTAAAATAGGAGCTATAATAATTTCGGGGATAAACTTAGTTATTAAGCGAGAGATAGTTAGGATACTACTATTAGTACTAATAGCTATATAAATATTACGTAGCTAGTATAGTACTTTACGGTATATAGCCTATCGCTTATTACTTATAAAGGCCTAGGTAATATAAAAAGTCTTACTAACTAGAGACGCTCCGATAATATTAAGTAGAGGTATCTTATACTTATTAATCTTATATATATAGTCTATCTATATAATATATAGATAGGCCTATAGTAACTCGAGGCTAGTTAAATATATTAAAAAGAGATAACTAAGCGAGTTATTATATATATTAACTTTATATTATATAATCTAACTACTATCCTTCGGAAAGTCTATTAAAAGGGTTTATACCGGGGTACGACCTTAAAGCTTAGTAAGACTAAGCTTAGCCTAGTAGTTAGTAATATCCCGGGGTCGAAGGTAGGATAGCTCGCCTTATTCCTCGGTAAGAAGCTAGATACTAGTAAGAATAAGACGGTTCGTAGTATCCTACGTAAGTTAAGTATTAAGGAATAGGGAGATAAGTCGTAATTCTCGCTTACGGGCGATAATCGAGGTAGCTATATTAATAATACTATAATTATAACTAGGATCTACAATTCTAATATACTAAACCCTATTTCCTAAGAGGGTAAGGGTACTATAAAAGGGGTAGTTAGTATTATAATTCTAAGCCCTACGAAGCCTCTACTTAGGTAAGCGATTATTACGATACTCTCGCCCCTTAGTATACTAGAAATAGACTATATAAGGATTCGAGGTCTTAGTAGAGAGGACGAAGCTAAGTAGTATAGCCTAATTATTTATAAAATCTATTACTAGCTCTTTAGTAGTTCCGGGTATAGTGGAGTTAAATAGGGGTATAGTATCGGTAAGGGATAGCTCTAGCTCGGGGGCTCGAGGGGGCTTAATTTAGACGATTTCGGGGGGGTCTATAGCTATAAAGAAGTAGAAAGGTATAAAAATAAGGTATAGATAGGAGCACTAGAGGTTAGGAGCGCGGTAGGCTAAGATCTATCGATTAAGTATATCTCCTAAAATAGAGGCTGTTTTATAATTATATGACTAGTTAAACCCTATATTACTAAACCCCCCTTTTTCGGTATCAAAAAACTCGATTAAATTAGTATCTAGGAATAGCTTTATTTCTATACTAAACCCTTTTTTAATAGAAAAAAACTCGATCAAATTAGTATCTAGGAATAGCTTTATTTCTACACTAAACCCCTTTTTAGTAGAAAAAAACTCTATTTTTACACTAGAACTTAATTAAATTAGTATCTAGGAATAGCTTTATTTTTGCACTAAACCCCCTTTTTAGTAAAAAAAAACTCGATTAAATCAGTATCTAGGAATAGCTTCATTTTTGCACTAAACCCCTTTTTAGTAGAAAAAAACTTGATCAAATTAGTATCTAGGAATAGCCTTATTTTTGCACTAAACCCCTTTTCAGTAGAAAAAAACTTGATCAAATCAGTATCTAGGAATAGCCTTATTTTTGCACTAAACCCCTTTTTAGTAGAAAAAAACTTGATCAAATCAGCATCTAGGAATAGCCTCATTTTTGTACTAAACCCCTTTTTAGTAGAAAAAAACTTGATCAAATCAGCATCTAGGAATAGCTTTATTTTTGCATGATAGTATAGATGGCGTGTAAGATTCTACATTCGCGATAGGGTGCCCTGATAAGATTCGGGTACTATCCGAAATACTAAGGGAGTACCATATTAAATACGACAGCCTGTGAATAAATTATGGCCAGCGGGAAATATCCCAAAACGGGTTAGTTAATAGTGTGCCGGTAGTAAAAACAGTGTGCCCGTAGTCGGTCTCATAATCATATCCGAAAAGCTAGGTACACCAAAACCAGGTGATGATTTGCTACAGTCACTCGAGTACGAAAAGAAAGTTATATGGCGGGAAACATGGGCCATAGTTAAATGTTGAGCGGCAATTTTTCTCAATCGGGTGAGGCTCAGGCCCCTAAAATAGGCCAACTCACAAGGGTGAAAGGAGATCCAAGTATCCCTGAATCCGTACCTGGAAGCGTCTATGATTCGGACTTTTAAAAGATTATGATTGTTCTACCGACCAATTCACATCCACGAGGAATCTACCTAGCAACACCATATTTCGTGAACAAGGGGTCATTCAACAGTCGATCCAAGCAGTTCTCCTCCACACCGACCAAAATCTCCATTCCCCCATTCGGTAGTAGCGGAAGCACGACTTGCCCGCCATTGATGCAGCCAACATGTGGCACTCGTACAGCTTGGATGTTGCCTAACAGAGGGCCCCACTCCAAACCATATAGTTCAAAGTTCAGCCACGAGGTTTGCACGCAATTGAAGCCTGGGACATCCAGGAAAGCAGTAGGAACGAGCCGATCAACATCCTCAAGTTGTTCCACCAGGGCTATGACATCGTCTGTAAATTGGTTGTCGGCTCGCATGATCCCTTTGCGAATCTCGATGGCTAGATCCGCCAAATTTAGAGTACTCAACATTTCGCGGATGGGCAACGAGACTGCAATATACTCTAAGAAACATCCCAACGTCGCAGGATGTACCTTGGGATCTGTCCGCTGTCGCCCGTCGAGGGCAATATTGAATACAGAAACGGGATCGCCCTCCAGAGTTTCCAGAGGTGATTGCACTGCCATGACTGTACGCCAAAGGAGCGCCGAAAGAGCATCATTTGTCGAGATCCACTTCTGTTCAGAAGGCTTGGTGGCATTTCCTGGAGACGCATCTGCCTTCAACGCCGCTAAAGACTCCGGAGAAAAATAGAAAATCTGCCCCCGATGACTCAAAGATGTCATTTTCGGTGGTGGTCCCGGGGGTGTGAAAGGAAGAAGAGTATATTCCGGATGGTCTTCAAGTTTGCCCGCATTTCGGCCAGACGATCGCATCACAAGCTCACGGTCTTTCCATATAGCATCCGGAAGGTCGGCAGCATTTAGGATCTCAAGCCCCTGTGCCCGGCGACACTCCTCTGCCCATATTTTTGTCCAAGTGTAGAATGCTGTCCCGTCGCCAGCCATATGGAAGATGCACCACGTCAAGATCAACCCTCCACGAATGAAGTTGGCCTGCACTACCGAAACTGGCAATTGATCTCCGGCTACCGGCCACACACGTCGAGGGCAGAATGTATCGGCATCGAACGACGCCACGGGGAAAGACTTTTCTTTCAGCTCCGCATAATCGGGTCCAAAATTCTGACGTAAATCGTTGATGATTATTTTCTCTGCATCGGCTTGATCTTGTTCCTGGAATTTCATCACACCTTGTTGCGTTGTACGGTCATCGGGAACGAGCACGCATGCAACCTCTGGTAGCCGCTGAATAAGACCTCTGTATCCGGCTTGAAGGACACGGGCAACTTCATCCAAATCATATTCCCCTTGGAGCTGGAGGGGAAAAACATAACGGAGCCAGCCTTTGGGTCCAATACGCTCCAACGATGTGAGCTCGGGAATCGGCCTAAAACTTCCAACTGACTCCATATTGTTTCAATTGAGTCGTTTGAGTCGATGAACGAGTTAGGATATGTGGGACAGCAGTGACTCGTGAGAGACGACTGGGAGGAAAGAGTGTTCGGGGTGTATTCACAGGGACTAGCTCTTATATTGATGATTCATGTGAGCAATATTCACCCCTGACCATTCCGATACTCCGGTTCGGAAATTGCACTGGTACGAAGTACTCCGTACTTTGTACATGATCAACCAGGAAAAAAACAACTAATATTCCGTTCTCCGTACATTATCCCGGGACTCTAAACCATTGCCGGTGGGCACCTGGGCAGACACATGAATAAGGAACCAATCAACTTGGGCATGAGATGAGGGGGTCCTATCTCCAGACTCCGCCGAAGGATCAAGATGCTTGTCTAGGGCCGTGCCGGACGGGACGTGCCAATTTGACTAAATAAATACTCCGTACATAGTCACTTATTGTAGGCCCACATGTTGTGCCAGATAGGCCGAGGCAAATACGCCGTGACAGATATGCCTTGCGAGATACTCCCTGTCGCATACGCCGTGTAAGATTTGGCGTCCTCCATGAGATAAGGACACCTCGAGCTCCCGACTCTCATATTCAGTAGATCAGGTATACCCAGGGGCCGATGTAAGGGAGTTCTACAGCTACGTGATAAATAATGTCCGAATGCAAGCTTCGAACAAGTCCCTCAGCAGCCAAGAGACAACTTACTTTATCTAGGTGTCATTTCACACGATCTGCCACAACGGCTGATTGTGGCCTCTTGGCGGAGGTGCAGTGGCCTAGCGGCTCCTTGGCGCCTGCAGATCGCTTTTAACCGAGGGGAGTATTCTTTCACGGACTTGCCTCACAGTGCGATCTTGCATCGGGTACGGAGCACTACCAAATGGACTTTTTGTTCTAAAATACAACATTGGCAGATTGATGAATCCCGTTCTGAGGGACCCGAGTCTTGTAGGTTCTCTCGCTTGTGTTCAAACAAAGTAATGTGACCAGGAATTGAGAAATCCTGCGAGCAATTGAACCAAGTGGGGAGTATGTCGCGGTCTTTTGTCTAGACCAGAGTCGTCTGATTGTCTAGCGGTGCAGTATTCTCATGTGGTTAGCGCCTGTTCTAGGTACGTATGTACTTTCTTTCAGGGGCCGCTAGCGTGCTAGCTTAGGGACGGGAGATAATCCCTGCCAGGCTATCATGCAGATTTAAGCATTGATCCTGCCAGGTGTGTGTATTGAGAAAATTTCTGTTCCTTTCAGCACTTGATCAATACGCTCATGACTGAGGATCCTACCATTCGTGCAATCTTCGGCCCGGCGCCCTCGAACGTCGACCTCAATGCCAGTGACATATCAGTCAACAATGGCGTCGTGATTGCCATGTTTTGTCTAGCTGCTGTCGCGGTGATATTACGTTTCACTGCACGACTGGTTCTCCGGAATGCTTTGATGGCCGATGATTGGGCGATCATTGCAGCGCTAGTGAGTTGACAGCCAAATATTCTTCCAAGGTCGAAAGTATTAAGCCCATTCTACATGCGCTGACTGTCTTTGAGGTGTTTATAGGGGGTTCTACGGGACTAAGTATCGCGGGTAAGGAAGCTCATCCCTGCTATTAGACCTTCAGTTGACCGAGCAAATGCGTATCTAGGCGGTACTACTGGTGCTGGAAAGCACATCTGGGCATGCACGCTAGATCAATTGATGCACTTGTACAGAGTGAGTGTATGCCTCGAGGATACCTTCACCCTTTCTGACCTATATCCAGCTTCTATATTCATACACCTTCATCTACGCCTCTTCTTGCACTTGCACTCGAGTATCGATTCTCTTTTTCTATCGCCGGGTCTTTTTCCCTTTAGAAAAGTATTTGAAGGTTGCGCTGATTTTCGGTGGCGTCCTTACCCTCTGCTATCCTATCATCATCTGGGTGACCATGGGGAATGCGTGCAAACCGGTGACTTACTTTTGGACACAATTTAGCGGTACAAAGGGCCAATGTATCAACGTGGAACAATTCTTCTTCGCTTTGGGAATCCTTAACATGTTGAATGATTTCATCGTTCTCATTATTCCGTTCCCGCGAATTGTCCGCCTACAAATGACTCCGAAAAAGAAACTAGCGATTTGTGCTATAATGGCCGTTGGCATCTTGTGAGTTCTGCACCAACGCTAAAGTGATACAAGCTGAACAATTCACAGTGTTTGTGTTGCAAGTATCGTGCGAATACATTATCTTTCTGAATTTCTGAGCGCGGTGGATGTCACTTGGGTGATGGGACCTCTGTTCATCTGGTCCACCATCGAGCCCTCGGTCGCAGTGGTTTGTGCCTGTCTGCCTCATCTCGCGCCACTTGCCAGACTTGCCCACCGATCGATTTCATCGAGTTACCAATCACAACAGTCTACTGGCCTTTCTGCTGAGAGAAGGAGGTTCCATGGGTCTGGCAAGAGTAACCAGGATCGCAATGGAGCCGGTAGCCGGGGCCCGATATTTGATTTTGGATTTGATCAAATGAAGAGGAGAGCAAACGATGACGAAATTGGACTGACTAATTATGTCACTGGCGGTCTAAATAAAGGTGCAAATCCTTCAAATGTCTCAGTCTCGGATGATTATAGCCATGAGCAAGCAATTGCTATTCATTCAGGTTTTGTGCAATCGACTTCATCAAGGCCGTCTTTATAGCTTAGAGCGAGGTCTAGTATGCTCAATATCGAAGGGAGAAAAATGGCAAGACTTGCAGGATCAACCTCCATTCAAGCTAGATATATACAAAGTGATCGCTACCCCCGTAGCCTTGGGATTAGAATATCGAGGATGTAGGTGAACAATCAGCTACCCGTGCCGTTATATAGATGTAACACCAGTCCATAAACTACCCAACATGTACAGGCTGTAAATGAGTCTTGGTTAGCAATGTGGCCCTCTAAGTTGGAAAATGTAGCAATTAACTATGTTCACAGCTACATACCATGAACCTGAGAAAGCCGTAAGTTGGGTGTACGAAACTTCTAGTTTGAGTTTGAGGGGCTCCATCACATTTGCTAACGAGCAGAACGAATTGCAAAATTAGAGAACTGATTGATCAGCTTGGTGCTGCTTTGGAGCTTTGGACCAAAGAGGTGTGATCCTCCAGGATCAGCCACACCCCCAAAAGAGATACTAATACCTAAATTCTATCATAGCTGCATGGAGGTAAGGGCATAAGTTTTCCCTGACGGTAAGTATAATGTATAGAACCGCGGTGTGCCTTAATTTATATCTAGATACCTACCGATTGCCATCTAAATCAGGTCTCCTTACGCCTTCTAAGTTTACTTAACTTGATGCGATGTTTCTTTACTTCAGTCTGTAAAGCTATTTAGTATGCTACCCAAAGTCACATCAGTAATTTTGAGCATATAGGTGCTGCTATAATGGCTACAGAACTAATACTAACATGTCTCTGGTGGAGAGTACTATCTGAGTTATCTGGCTTGTCCTACCCCCTGCCACCATAAATAGTTCCGTATATTTGGATGCATTCTTCCATCATTTCTACTAGATAAATCTCAATGAGCTCCAAATCTATATATATCTTTCTCTATAGGCTTCTGTCAGAGTCAACCGAGAGAGACGTCGAAATGCATAATGAAGATGTTGATAGAGGAAAAGTCTAAACTAGGAAGCTATGGACTGAGACACGTGATAACTGCATCCTATTAGATATAATCATGTCTGTGGAGGACCGAGGACGACTTTAAAGATAGGTAGTGTGCTCCGTGACCATCCAAAAGCTCGATTTGCGGTAAGTAAAAATAGAATTACGCCCTGGAAATCGTGTGGTCCCGGAAATCCTAGGCCCATGGTTTATTGATTTGGAATACGATGTCTACAATAATGGTTACTAGTTAATCGATCGTTGGGGTGATCGTCATTAAGACCAGCCGACAAGGCAGAACCATGCAGTTTCGGCTACATAGCGGGAATCTCTAACGCAATGTAGCTATATAAACCGTCTAGGACTACGTAAAATATCAAGATCTGGGGATGGCTTCGCGGAGAATCGATGCATACGGTGAAAATCCCTTGAACTAAAATTACAGTATGTCCATAGGAGAAGGATACAGAACTCGTCTAAAGGTCCGCAGTCGTACACATTCAATAGATCCTCGGCCACATCCACGTTTTTGTGAAATCTATGAATATCTCGACAGTCCTATCGCGTAATGAGTGTCGCTTCGCGGGCTTCCGACTATTTTCCTTTCTGCTGTGATACTTGTCCTTTGTTTCTGTGAAGTTCCACTGAAGGGATATGCGATGCGCAATACCATCTACTTAGTCACTGCGTTAAAATCTCAGAAACAATAATCACTATAGCACCAATTAAACAATTTTGGACCACTGAATGTAGCCTGGTATTAGTAGAATGGATTCAGTATCGAAAGCCATGGGTCTTCTACAGCTTGTTCGTTCTTTTATCCACTTCCAGCTTCTGAAGAGCTTGTCTTAGATTGACAGTCATGCCGTGTGGTGATGGTTTTCCCGTTAAGCGTTCGACAAAGACATGGACACAGGTGGCTACAGCCCTCACCTCGGCAACACCCTGCTCAAACACGGCAACTTCGTATGTCACGCTGGATTTACCAAGTTTGTTCACTCGCAGACCCAACTCTGCCACTGCAGGGTATGCAATTGACGAGAAAAACTCAGTATGAGCGTCCACAGCGACCCCGTAAATCTCGGTGGTTGGCGGATGAAACCCACACTTCTCCATAAGATAGGCATATATCACGGAGTCAACCCTATGCGTTCGGGTCAGATTCCAAGTGGTCTAACGTTGTCTTATGAAAGAATGCCTTACAGGAAGCCGTAGACAGATTTATTCATATGATCAAACATATCATTATCACACCTGGAAATTCTATGTAAGTACTTCATGATTTTGGTAGAACCCGTTTTTATTTGATTCTGCTTCTTCAGCTCTGGGCAGATTCCCGGGTCTGTGCAACATAATTCGGGGAAGGCTTACCATCTTGTTCGATAGTCCAGCTGGTAACGATAGTCTTGGCGGCAACGCGCCTTAAGCTCCTTCGTAGATTGCATGAGAAGGTGTTGATGAGTGAAGTAGCATCAATGGAGGAACGGCTGAAGGAGTCGATAAGTGATCTAATTGAGAACACTATAGTCGTGCTGGAGAAAAGATGATGGGGAAAATTGATTGACCATATTGCAAAGCTGTGCTCTTAAATGACCACTGGTTGGACCGAGGATCAAACCATCCGAGGCATATGATCAGCATTTTGTAAATATGGAGTTTCTCCGAATCGGAGATACTGACGATCTCCAAATCGGAGAGAACTGTCCGCTGTTGTCCTCAGGGGTTTGCAGAGTTTGTCGGAACTGTCAACTGACGTGGTATTCAGTATAGTAGGGGTCTAATCAAGGGAGTTGAAATCTCTGTGTTTCTGTATCCACTATTCTAGCAGGAAATATGACTATCTGACTAATATCAAAAATACTGCGTGGACAGGATAAACTAAACTTCCGGTATGCCGATCTCATGCTCCGATACACCCCCTCAGCTAGGCTAGTATGGTCTAGCTGCTTCCTACGCTCAGTCGGTATGCTATTTCTCTTCCCTTACTAATCAGACGACCCCTACTATCAGATAGCTTATATCGGTCATCCTTAACATTTTAAGGAAAGCTTCATACTTTTACCTAGTAAGTAACTTTATAAGTCCGTCTATAGCTATACTAGCTGTCGGCACCTATTTTACCTTGATTCTTCCTTCCCTAACTTCCTATCTAAGCTAGTGCCGATAAATATTAATATATCGTAATTTCGTCTCGAACGCTATATCCTCGCTAGTTAGAAGACTAATAGTGCGCTAATTATCGTAATTAATACTTAGTTAATAGGAAGGGATAAAACTAAGGGTATTAAGAAGTCTACGCTACTATTATAGCTATTTTATAGTCTCTAAGAGACCGAGTAGCTTAGCTTTAGTAGTGGAGGTAGTGACTATCGGCTACTTATTAGCTTTCTAGTCGACTAGTCCGCTATATATCTAGTAGATATAGCTAGCGGAGCTCTTTCTATCGGGATAATCCCTATATAAAGTATTATTAGCGAATTATATAGAGTCCCTTTCTATACCTAATTCTATACTATATTTAATAGCGAGATAGCGGGTAGAATTAAGGTAGGTAATAACTCTATTAGCTACCTAATAGTACTAGGGGCCTAGGTTTATTAAGTATTATATTAGACGAGTAGTCGATTTTATAGTATCTAGTCTTATAATTATAGTAATATATCTAGTAAATCCTACCTTCTTTTAGTATAATAGGATCTCTTAGGCTATAGTTATACCCTAATATAGAGTTAGCTCTTCGATAGGTATTAGGGTATATACCGCTAGTCTATCTATAAGATTATATTATATAGTAATACTTACTATATAGCTATCTTAATAAAGCTATAGCTTTTTTTACTACCTATCTCTAATAATACGGATATTAAGAAACTATACTACCTCTCTATAATTAGTTAGTTCCTAGTAAGTTTCTAGATCTCGTTCTAACTATATAGCCCTTTCTCGTACCTCCCTACTATTATAGTAGGTAATTAGGATATTATTAATATAGAAAAAGACTATTAGTCTATTTCTAATAAAGATATAGGGGTCTTCTAGGGCTTATTATAGTCCTAGCTTACGAAATATACTAGCTACTTCCTATTACTAAAGTCTAGGTAAGATCCGTAGACTATATAGTACGCGGCGGAGTTTCTAGTATTTACTAGGTAGTCTAAACCTATTAGGTATCTAGATATAGACCTCTTTTTCTAGTATACTATTTAAAAAGGTAGTAATAATATCCCGCTATCTTAGATCGAGATTAAATACGGTAATAAGAGTAAAGATTATCCTTATAGTCCTTACTACTAGTATAGTAGCTCTCTTTTCTTCGTACGAAATAGTCTCTAGATCTCCTTATACGTATATACGAGCTTTAAATTTAACTAGATAACTATCCTAATCGTATTTATAGGTAAATACCTATATAAGAGGTAGTATTTACTTACCTCTATCCTTTAGTCTCTCTATAATCTTATAGGTTTCCTTTTCTATTAGAGAGTTAATCTCCTTTCTTATTACTACGAGAAAGCCTTCCTAAAATAGATAGTTTATAATATCTTTATAGTATTTTAGGACTAAGGGGAGATTATCTTAATATCGTCTAATTTCGGGTTTCTTAGTATATAGTCCTATAGCGAAAGTATATAGTAGTATAGGAGGGTCTTTCTTTTCGTCTATAGCTCCTATAATTATTATATAGATATAGTCTTTATCTTACCTAGTTTAACGCCTTCGCTTTCTACTAATAATATTACTAGTATTAATATATCCTATAATTTATCTACTTAGGGCGAGAAGTTCCGCCTATAGTTATTTTTCTAGCTTATTTTCTAGCTTATCTTCTATAGTAGGAATAGCTTTATTATTCTAAGCCTAGTCGCTAACTAGATTCTTTAGATCCCCTAGTATATCTACCCCCTAACTAGGGGTAGTATAGTGATCCTACGTATAGGGTTCTTACGGCGGTATAATAGGGAGCGGAGGAAGGGGTTTATCCGGAAATATACCTAGCGGGGCTCGGGGTTTATAGATCTTAGGTATTTACTATATAATCGTAATTTTTAGGGAGGGTAGGACCACTTACTAGTCTACCCCCTAAAGTAGGGTAGTATCTCGCTAACTAATTTTACTAGCTATCTCCCTCTACGGAGAGTTCTACTATATATTTTACTAGTTTTCTTACTAAGATCCCTACTAAGATCCTTAATAATTATAGTACTAAGTTTCTTATAGATTATTAGACTAAGCTTCCTATAGATCTCGATAATCTCTCTCTTCTATTTCGCTAGTCTCTTAACTAGCTATTACGCGATTAAGTACCTAGGTAAACTCTTCTATAGTAATTTCTTAAGGTTCTTACTATATTAGTATTAGAATAAGCTAATATCTATTATAATTAGGGATATATTTACGAGTTTTATTAAATACTATATCCCTAATAGGCTTCACTTTCCTATTATATAGAAACTAGATTTTCTAGATATTTAATACTATATAGCTAACTAAGAATCCGATCTTAGCTCGTAGGTTTATTTTATTAGACTAGACCTATTTATCGATCCTATAGTATACTAAACTTCTATATAGTTTAATATTTAATAGGTTAATCCTCGGCGCCTACGGTACGAACTCCTTCCGTACCTCCTCTTATAGTATAACCTAGCGGTTTTCGGTAGTAATATATATCGGCGTACGATTTAGTAACTATACCGTAGCGTTAGCGGCCTCTAGCTATAGATCTTTTAGGAGCTTTCCTTTAACTATAAGTATATATATACGGGTAATAATTATATAACCGGATCTTTTAGTATAACTATTTATTTCGGAGTGCCCTAGGGGGTTATAATATATAAGGATACTATTAGAAGTAAGGCTATATTCCGTAGGTTTTCTAGCTAAGGACTTATTATTATATTAGAAGGCTTTAATTAGTAGATCCTATTAGTTTCTTACTAATTTTATAAAACGATTAATCGCTAGCTAATACTTAGGCTTTATTTTATAGGTTATTAGCTAATAAAACCTAGGACCTTCTAGGTAAAAATAAGAGATCTAGCGGTACTTATTCTCTACTAGCGGTAGCTAAATAAGATTAAAGTATACTCTTCTAAATCGTCCGAAAGTACGTCTAACTACGCGTCTTAATATCTACCTTAGTATACGATCTAGCTAATAAGTCTAGTATAATACCTATATTTTAGTAGACTTCTTTTCTTTATCGTTAAAAATAACTCTATCTACTATAGTAACGAGTTTTATAGCGCTTCGCTAGTTAATATAGGTAAGCTATCGGTACTAGATATCTAATAAGGCTCTTAATTATTAAGGTTTTATAGACTTTCTCTCTATAAAATAGGCTTACTAGGGCTATATAAGTTCTCCGGGTTAATTAAAGATCTAGAGGTTAAACTAGTCCTAAAGGTTAACGTAGATAACTAGTCTATTATTAAGGTCTCTAATATAGTTTATACGCTAGTACTATATCCCGCCCTTCTTTTTTAGTATAGAATAGGATACTAGGTTTATATAGAAGCTAAGGGAATAGAGGGTATTACTAAGTATAATCTCTATTTTACCTTTTACTAGATATCTACCTACTAGTCTAACCTTCCCCTTTCCTAGTATCTAGGTAGTACTATCTCCCGTCGTAAGATCTAAAATCTAGGGTATAAAGTCGATAAAAAAGTCTCTATTATTATAGATATAGATACTAGATCCTATATTAAGGATCTATCTATCTTTTAAGATAGGTTCTTTATTTTTAGTAAATAAAAAGGTATATTTACTAGTCCGAGCCACCCCCCTACTCTCTAGTATAGGGCTTAAGGGTACTAATATACGGTATAGGGGTAGTAGCGAAGCTTACTTAATTTATAAACTTTTCCTTCTAAGGTTACTAATATTACTAAGTTTACTAAGTTTACTATACCTTTTCTACCTTCTTTTCTACCTATTTCTTCTAAGTAGGCTCTTTAGCGAGTTTTTACTTAATCTTTTCTAGCTTTCTAGGGTTAATATAGGTCCCTTTAGGGCGGTTTTCCTTATTAAGATACTAGTATATTACTATTTTATATAAATAGTAAGGGTTTCCGTATAGATACCTCCTCTTTTTAAATAAGATCACCTTCTTA